AAAGAGATATTTTCAGTGATACCAAATTATGATGATTTTTCAAGGACATTTTTTGGAGTGATAAATTACAATATTGAAAATTCAGCTCATGGGTTAGCAGTCACTTTTGATCAAGCAAACCGCGTGAGTAGAAAATATTCTAATGTGAATTTTGCGCGGAACAAATTTCAAGAGCCTGAAACCCATTTGTCGATGGAGAATTTATAAAGTGATGCTTTCAGAGGCCTTTTGACATTACGTGACCAGCTCATGAGTAAGCTGTCCCACAAGTTATTTTATCTGAATGTCCAACAGAGACCCCAATGTGGTTATCGGAAAATATTTTCAATACCCCGAAGTCTAACTCAATTGCTATAAAAATCGATATCATAATTATAGTGACCTCCGCTATGTTTTTACCTCCTTACCAACTGCACGGTGTTAAATCCCTCTTGTGAGTACAAATTTCCCATTTAGAGGTTTTCTCGAGAGTTGCCTTCCATTTTCCGGGCGCTTCAAGGTCGTGGGGGCAGTCAGTCAGAAACCATCGTTGGAGTATTCCGTTTTTAATGGCCTTCGTGTCATTGCTTAGTGTAAGATACTTTGTTCAAGCTGCTTATGCTGGTGTTGACCATTGGTGATACGTGTCACCGCACGCGAGCGATTGAAGGATCCTGAAGAAATATTCTTCTAGTCCAACCACACAGAATCCAGCTAAGTCGAACCAAATTAAGCCAGTCCACAACCTCGCAAAATATTTTAAGATCTTTTTAATATTATCCTGTCATCTACACGAGGTCTTCGAAGTGATCATTTTCTCTTCAGGATTACTGTTGTAAAATATGATTGTATTTATCATTCCAATCTGTGTAACGTCCGTCAATTTCAACCTCCTTCATCGGATTATCGTAAAAGGAATTCGGATAAATTATAAAGCAAGAAGATTTTTGTAGCCCCCCTGCTACAATCTCTTCATCCCTTCTAGGTCCAAATATTCTCAGAGACCCTCGACTTAAGTGCATTCTTTTTCATCGAGAGACCATAAGCAAATTTATAGTTTTATAAACTTCGTTACCTTAGAAGTTAGTGGAGTTTGTAAGTGTTTTACAAACTAATTAGGCCTATTAACCATTTTATCTGCCATAGACCTAACAGAAACGTTTAACAACACGAGTTTTAAAAGACTAAACGTATTATTGAACAAAATGTAAATCTTTGTAACTGGACACAAATTAGACAGGCACAGTTTGTGAATATTTTAATATGTCTATACGTTATGGGTCGTATGATAAAAATAACATTTTCTTACGTGTAACTGGACACAAATCAGACAGGCACAGTTTGTGCATATTTAAATATGTCTATACGTTATGGATCGTATGATAAAAATAACATTTTCTTACTTACAACTAATTTGCTATGCATTATTATCCACCTTGTAAAATTATAATGTGACTGAAAAACAAATTAAAACTCTGTTATGAAGCCTTGTCACGGCAAGGAACGATTTCATTTTGTTAACTGTTTCAGAAAAGGAATTGAATTTGTTTACAAGTTTGAGTTTTTCGAATTAAAAATGGTTTAACTTAAAGACAATATCATTTACGCCAATGTCTTTAAAGTCACGTTTCTAATGCTCCAAGACGCGTCTGTAAATTTTAATTATTTTGAAATATATCGTATAAATTTTCGATAGTTCTCTCTGAATGTCTATTATTATGTATTTTTCCCCTCTTGGTGAAATTAGAGCCACGAAGACCATTGTTTTCTTCGTAGAGTCTATGATAAAAGGTACACATTTTCCAGACCTCATCCTCTCAGATTTGATAATTTTAATAGCAGTTCATTTACTAATGATTGCAAATCATAATTAGTTAACACAAATATATATTTGGTTCAGTTATGTAGATTCAAAAATATATTGTTGCGCCTACGATGAAAATTTTAATCTATTTATAGTTTTAACTGATTTGTGGGTTAAAAATGTCAATTCTAAGGAATTTTATAAGTAAATTCAACTAAATGTTTGTGAATGGATTAACAACAGACGAACTGAATCTCTTATCTTCCACATTTCAATGTAGGGACAATTATTTAATTTTTCTTAAAATCGCTCAAATAGTTTAGTACATATTTTAACAATTTATTACTAAACTGTAGGACTGTTTTTAAAAAAAATATTTTTGATATTCCTAACATACCTTATAATATAATACGTATTAAAGAAATAATTTTATATTTAAATAAATATATTTATTTAATTTCAATATGTAATCAGTGGACATGCTGAGAATATTTAAATTTTTAAATTAATTACTTATAACCATTTAGTTGAATTTCAAATTAACGTGTTTCAGACGCCTATGTAACTGAGTGTTCAAAAATGTTTGTCGGAATCTTACAAATTAAATTTTGAAAATGTGTTTTAATAGATAATTTACCACACTGTGATCAGAATTTTACTAATTGCAGCACGTTATAACCAAGCCATAGATACATTG